GGCAGGCTGAGGCAGGCTGAGGCTGAGGCCGAGTCTGCAAGCAGACTGAGGCCGAGGCTGAAGCAGGCTGAGGCTGAGGCAGGATGAGGCTGAGGCGGAGGCTGAGGCAGGTTGGTGCTGAGGCAGGCTGAGGCTGAGGCTGAGGCTGATGCAGGCTGAGGCTGAGGCAGGCTGAGGCTGAGGCCGAGGCTGAAGGCAACGTGAGGCTGAGGCTGAAGCAGGCTGAGGCTGAGGCTGAGGCTGAGGCAGGCTGAGGCTGAGGCAGGCTGATGCTGAGGCAGGCTGAGGCTGAGAATGGGGCTGATGCGGGGTGAGGCTGAAGCAGGCTGAGGCTGAGACCAAGGCGGAAGGCAGATTGAGGCTGATGCTGAAGCAGGCTGAGGCCGATGCAGGCTGAGGCTGAGGCTGACGCAGGCTGATGCTGAGGCAGGCTGAGGCTGAGGCTGAGGCTGATGCAGGCTGAGGCTGAGGCAGCCTGCGGCTGAGGCAGAGGCCGAAGGCAGACTGAGGCTGAGGCTGAAGCAGGCTGAGGCCCAGGCTGAGGAAGGCTGAGGCTGAGGCAGGCTGAGGTTGAGGCAGGCTGAGGCTGAGGCTGAGGCTGAGGCTGAGGCAGGCTGAGGCTGAGGCAGGCTGAGGCTGAGGCCGAGGCTGACGGCAGACTGATGCTGAGGCTGAAGCAGGCTGAGGCTGACGCTGAGGCAGGCTGAAGCTGAGGCTGAGGCAGGCTGATGCTGAGGCAGGCTGAGGCTGATGCTGAGGCTGAAGCAGGCTGAGGCTGAGGCAGGCTGAGGCTCAGGTCGAGGCGGAAGGCAGACTGAGGCTGAGCCTGAAGCAGGCTGAGGCTGAGGCTGAGGCTGAGGCAGGCTGAGGCTGAGGCTGAGGCAGGCTGAGGCTGAGGCTGAGGCTGAGGCAGGCTGAGGCGGAGGGGGGGATTGTAGGCAGACTGAAGCCGAGGCTGAAGCAGGCTGACGCTGAGGCTGAGGCAGGCTGAGGCTGAGGCTGACGCAGGCTGATGCTGAGACTGAGGCTGGGGCTGAGGCTGAGGCCGATGCAGGCTGATGCTGAGGCAGGCTGAGGCAGAGGCCGAGGCCGACGGCACTGAGGCTGAGGCCGAAGCAGGCTGAGGCTGAGGCTGAGGCAGGCTGAGGCTGAGGCTAAAGCAGGCTGATGCTGAAGCGGGCTGAGGCCGAGGCTGAGGCTGATGCAGGGTGAGTTTGAGGCAGGCTGAATCTGAGGCCGAGGCTGAAGGCAGACTGAAGCTGAGGCTGAAGCAGGCAGAGGCTGAGGCTGAGGCAGGCTGAGGCTGAGGCAGGCTGAGGCTGAGACTGAGGCAGGCTGAGGCTGAGGCTGTGACTTCCACTGCCGTTGCCACTGCGACTGTCATCGCGAATGCGATTACGACTGCGAGAACAGCAGAATTCTACAACTGGGTTCTCATCCGAATTTGATGGGGTAATGTTTCCAGATATGCTCCTACACATCGCTGTTAGGTTGCTTTGCCGGGATAATTGTTTGTTCGCATGTACGTGCCGATGTGTTGCGACGACCAATTCATCATCATCACGTTCTCTGGCTTCGTCTTCTTCGGCTCCGACTCCGGCTCCGTCGTGCAGATGGTCCACAACAGGCTGGACACGAATGCCGGCCCACAAATACCTACCTCCACCCTCCGATGATGCATTCCCGCCCCCATCCGCTCATGACGTCCACTCCTACATCCACCTATCGACCTCTGACATCCACTTGCTCAGCGCTCCGACCTCCAGCATTTAACATTTGACTCTTCACTACTACCTCCTCGCATCGCGCCCCAGACCCCGCAAGCTCAGCCCCCCGACCTCCAGCCTCCAACCTCCGACTTTCCACCTCCGCATCCACTTATCGACCGTCTGTCTCTGACAGCCTCACACTCCGACCTCCATCACCCAGCATCCGACTTCCACTCGCACCTCCACCTATCGACATCCAGCCTCCACCAAATCGGCACTCCGACCTCCACCGTCGGACATCCGACTCTGCAGTCCTACATCCACTTATCGACCTTCAGGCTCCGCCAGCTCAACACAGTGACTTCAAGCCTCCAGCATCCGACTTTCAACCTCCACCTCCACCTATTGACCTCCAGCGTCCGCAAGCTCAACACTCCGACCTCCAGCATCAATCGTCCGACTCTCCACCTCCACCTCCACATATCGACCTCCAGCATCCATCATCTCAGCACTCCGACCTGCAGCCACCAGCATCCGACTTTTCCACTTCCACCTCCACCTATCGGCCTCCGGCGACCACCATCTCAGCACTCCGACCTCCAACCTTCAGCATCCGACTTTCAATCTCCACCTGCACGTATTGACCTCCAGCATCCGACTTTCCACTTCCCCGCCTATCTATCCGACCTATCACTCTCACCTACATCTATTGGACTCCAGAATACACTAGACGTCCAACATTTCTACGTTTCACACCACTTTCATCCAGATCGACCGCCAGTCCCAGGCCAACTACTGAGGGCTCCGGCCCCACCGCGCCGCCCTCCTAGGGCTGGTCCCGCTGGACCGTCATCGCGCGCTCGCTCCTCCTCCTCCTTTTCCTCCTCCTCCTCCTCCTCCTCACTTTCTCCTCCTCCTCCTCCCCCTCCCCCTACTCCTCATCCTCCCCCTACCCCTACTCCTCCCCCTACTCCTCCCCCCTCCCCCTCCCCCCTCCTCCTCCCCCCTTCTCGCTCCTCCTCCTCCTCCTCACTTTCTCCTCCTCCTCCTCCGATCGCCAACCACCACCACCACCTCCCCTCCCCATCCTCCTGCTCGTCCACAACCACCTTCCTCCCCCCTCCTCCTCCACCTCCCTCCTCCCCCCCCTCCTTCTCCTCCTCCTCTCTCCTCCTCCCTCCTCCTCCACCTCCTCCTTCCCATTCCTCCTCCTCCCCTCCTCCTCCTCCTCCCTTTCTCCTCCTCCTCCTCCACCTCCTCCCCTTTCTCCTCCCTCCTCCTCCCCCCCTCCCCGTACTCCTCCCCCTACTCCTCCCCTACTCCTCCCCTCCCCCTCCCCCTCCCCCTCCTCCTCCCCCCCCTTCTCCTCCTCCTCCTCCTCCTGCTCCTCTTTCTCCTCCTCACGTTCTCCTCCTCCTCCTCCTCCTCCTCCCCTCCCCTCCTCCACCTCCTCTGATCGCCACCACCACCAAACCTACCCCTCCCACCATCCTCCTGCTCCGTCCACCACCAACCCCTCCCTCTCCTCCTCTTCCCCCTCCTCCCCCTCATCCCCCTCCTCCTCCTCCTCCTCCTCCTCCTCCCCCTCCTCCTCCTGCTGCTCCTCCTCCTCCTCCTCCTCCCTTTCTCCTCCTCCTCCTCCTCCGATCGCGTCGTAAAATCACCTTGTGACGCACCCAACCCTGTCTATACATGTGGCGATTATACTCAAGACCATTCAATGCTGACTGGCATTCTGAAGGACCCGCAATGCGCAGACTGAGCACCCAACAATGCTTTCAGAAGAGCGCAGCAAGAAGTCCCGTGGTGATCCGCGTATGACGTACCTCCGCTGGGCCTCCCAGGAGCCCACGAACGTGGCGACACTTGCGCAGATCGCCAGCCCCCCAAGGGGCGGCGAGGTCCCGAGGTGGTCCGCGTGGGACGTACCTCCGCTGGGCCTCCCAGGAGCCCACGAAAGTGGCGACATTTGCGCAGATCGCAAGCCCCCAGGGGCGGCGAGGTCCCGTGGTGATCCGCGTATGACGTACCTCCGCTAGGCCTCCCAGGAGCCCACGAAAGCGGCGACAATGGCAACACTTGCGCAGATCGCAAGTCCCCCAGGGGCGGCGAGGTGCCGTGGTGGTCCGCGTATGACGTACCTCCGCTGGGCCTCTCAGGAGCCCACGAAAGTGGCGACAGTTGCGCAGATCGCAAGCCCCCCAGGGGGCGGCGAGGTCCCGAGGTGGTCCGCGTGGGACGTACCCCCGCTGGGCCTCCCAGGAGCCCACGAACGTGGTGACAATTGCGCAGATCGCAAGCCCCCCAGGGGGCGGCGAGGTCCCGAGGTGGTCCGCGTGGGACGAACCTCCGCTGGGCCTCCCAGGAGCCCACGAAACTGGTGACAATTGCGCAGATCGCAAGCCCCGCAAGGGGCGGCGAGGTCCCGAGGTGGTCCGCGTGGGACGTACCTCCGCTGGGCCTCCCAGGAGCCCACGAAAGTGGCGACACTTGCGCAGATCGCAAGCCCCCCACGGGGCGGCGAGGTCCCGAGGTGGTCCGCGTGGGACGTACCCCCGCTGGGCCTCCCAGGAGCCCACGAAGTGGCGAAAGTTGCGCAGATCGCAAGCCCCCCAGGGGGCGGCGAGGTCCCGAGGTGGTCCGCGTGGGACGTACCTCCGCTGGGCCTCCCAGGAACCCGCGAAAGTGGCGACAGTTGCGCAGATTGCAAGCCCCCCAGGGGGCGGCGAGGTCCCGAGGTGGTCCGCGTGGGACGTACCCCAGCTGGGCCTCTCAGGAGCCCACGAAAGTGGCGACAGTTGCGCAGATCGCAGAGGGAACGAGAGAAGAGAAGGGAACACAGGAAACTTGAGAGAAGGAGGAGGGGAGGAGAGGGGTGGAGGAGGAGGAGGAGGAGGAGGAGGAGGAGGAGGAGGAGGAGGAGGAGGACGGGGCGGCCACACTGCTCTATTCAAAACGAGTGCCCAACCATAGGAGGGTTGGGAGAAATCGGGACGGGCAGTTTTTGGCTGATTTCGGCCCCCGGGGGGGGGGCCCTCGCTGGGCCTCGGGACCGTCGAAAAACGGCTCAGGACGACAAACCGGTCCCGGGGAAAGTATCGGGCGGGGCTTCCAAGGACGCCGCCCTGAAAAAAAATCCGGACGTCGCATGCCTGGGCCTCTTTCCCTGCCCCTCCCTCCCTCTGCCCTCTCTCCTCGCCTGCCCGCCCCTCCCCCCCTCATCCCTCCGCTGCCGCCGCCCCTGCCTCGGCCTCCTGCACCTCGCCATCCTGCTCCGCAGACCCCGCAAGCCTTGGCGTTGGCAGCGATGTACGCCCTGTTCTCTCGCTCCTCCCCCGCGGGCGGGCCGGCCAGCGCGCACGAGCCCGGAGGGCGCGTGGCGCGACGCCAGGAGCGAGCGAGCAACGGTAACGCGGCAGGGCGTCGTGCAGCCTCCTTGACAAAAGCCGCACATTCGTACAAGGCGCACTATGTACGTATACAGATATACATCTATACATATATATATATATACACATTCATATATGTATGTATGTATATATATATATATATACACGCATACCCGTCGGTCGGAAGAAGTGGGTAGAAACATGAAATAGGAGGCGTTGAGAAAGTAGATTGGGCTTCCGCGCGCCCCTTGAGGACGCTGCCAGAGGGAATTCCACTCGACTCTTGAAGTAGGAAGGCGCCTCAAGTGGATTGGGACTTGGAACTCCAAGAGTACCTACTTTCAACGACCGACGGGTGTGTACACACATATATATATATATATACATACATATGAGCGAAGGGAGGGGCGGCAGATGAGAAGAGAGGAGGGGATAGGGGAGAAAGGATGTGTGGCGACATTCGAATCCCACCCCCACCAGCCATCGTTTTTCCTGAATCGATGGGGGGCGGGGGTATGTGGTACGGCTCGGATCTCGTAACGTGTTCGATGAATTTCGACCCCCCCGCCACCCATCGAGTTGAAATCGTCGATCGACGAGGGTACGGTTTGGATTTCGCGGCCGAATGGAGGGAAAGGAGGTAGGGGAGACAGGGGGGCGAGGGGGAGGCGGACGGGGAAGACAGACGAGGGAAGGGGAGGCGAATCTGAAAGGAGGAATGAAGAGGGAGGGGAGGACTCGGTCGAGACCGACTGCCGGATACACCTAGAAGACAAGCCAACCGTCCCAACCATCCAGCCAAGCCAGCCAAACGACCAACCGACCTGCGCCGTCTGCACGAGTGGGTGTGTTGCGGTGAGATCGGCTACACGCAAGAGCGACCCAAGGAAAGAGTGACCTTTCGTGCGCGGACTGCGGGAGCGAAAGGTGGCCAAATGCAAGCGCGCAAGCAGCCATTATCGCACCGTGCTCAGCGGCCAGGGGGACCCCAGTGAGCCCGCACCTAAGGTCACTCTGGCGAAAAGTCACTCTTCTTACGTGTAGCGGGCATGTCCATTACCAAAAAAAGTCGCCCCCACACTGGTTTACTATTTTTGAATTAGGATGGTTCCGGAACCGAACCGAACCAGCCGAACCGAACCGGGCCGAACCGAACCGGCGCGAACCGGTGTTTTTTGGTGAATGGGAACCGAGCCGAACCGAACCCGAAAATTGCGACACCGAACCGAGCCGAACCGAACCGGGACTCCGAACCGGACCGAACCTCTCCGCGCCGAACCGGCCCGAACCGGACCTAATTGGACCGAACCGGAAACGATCCACCAGCAGTCTGCTGCAGCCACCCCGACAAACCGCCCTTTGGGGTTTGGGGCCTCTTTGGGGCCCCTTTGGGGTTTGGGGCACCTTTGGGGTTTGACTGTGGGGTTTGGGGCCCCTTCGGGCCCATTTAAGGTTTAAGGCCAATTGGGGCCCCTTTGGGGCTTGGGGCCGCTTTGGGGCCCCTTTGGAGTTTGGAGCCCCTTTGGGGTTTGGCGCCCCTTTAGGGCCCCTTTGGGGTTCCTTTGTGGCCTCCTTGGAGTTTGGGGTCCTTTAAAGCACCTTCAGAACCCTTTGGGGTTTGGGGGCGCTTTGGGGCCCCTTTGGGGTTTGGGACCGCTTTGGGGTTTGAGGCCCCTTTGGAGCCCCTTCGGAAACTCTTTGAGGTTTGGGGGCCCTTTTGGGGCCCCTTCGGGCCCCCTTGGGGTTTGGGCTCCTTTGAAGGCCCTGTGGGGCCCCTTTGGGGTTGAGGCCTCTTTGGGGCCCCTTTGGGGTTTGGGGCCCTTTTGGGGCCCCGTTGGGGTTTGGAGCCCCTTTGGGGCCCCTTCGGACCCGCTTTGGAGTTTTGGGCCACTTTGGGGCTCCTTTGGGACCCATTTGGGATTTGAGGACCCTTTGGGGTTTGGGGTATCGTTGAGGTTCCTTTGGGGTTTGGGCCTCCTTTGGGGCCCCTTCGGACCCCCTTTGGGGTTTGGGGCCCCTTTGGGGCCCCTTCGGACACTCTTTGGGGTTATGAGCCCCTTTGGGTCCCCTTCGGGCCTCCGTCGGAACCGCTCCTCGACGGCGATCTGGCCGGAACCAGACCGAACCGGTACAGGAACCAGGCCGAACCGGAAACAAAAAATAAACGTACCGAACCGAACCGAACCGAACCGGAAGATTGCGAGACCGAACCGAACCGAACCGAACCGGAGGCGCTTTGGAACCTAACCGAAACGAGCCGAACCGTCGGTGAGTAAGCTGTGAAATTAAACCCCCCACCCCAAAACGAGGTTGCTCTCATCGCACTCCAAGGCCACACCCCAGGAATCATGGATCGTTTCGAGCGCCCGGCCAGGCATCGACACAGGGGCGAGCGAACATCGCCTCCCGGGGCCCCACACGCGAAGACCCTCTAATCCCGCCAGCCCTCTGGGCGTCGGTGGTTTAGGGAGCTTCCTCTTCCACCCCGCCTTCTTCCCCTTCGGGGAGGGTCTTACCCTTCCCCAACCCCATCCCCGCCTAAGGAAGCGGGACCCATCGCAAATCCACACGCCTACATGAATGTTCGCGTTTCCTCAATGAAGAAGCCCTGGCGACCCAACCTGGAGGTGCTTGTTCGCCCCAGGTCCATTGCTCTCCAAGAAGTGTTTGCACTTGGAGGCTCGTACCTCTCTTCTACAGCACTGGACCTGTCTGCCGCTCTGGCGGCTATGTGGCCTCCGTCGCCGCCACGTCGCCGCCCGTCGTCTAAGCCCGTCTGCCGCTCTGGCGGCTCCGGCCGCCGACGCCTCCCCGTCGCCTCCCGTCGTCTGGGCCGGTCTGCCGTTCTGGCGGCTATGTGGCCGCCGTCGCCGCCCCGTGGTCGCCGTCGCCGCCGCGTCGCCGCCTCGCATAGATTGCACCCCACAGATTGCACCACATCGATTGCACCACGTTGTCCCCCCCTTTCGGGAATGCAAATCACATCTGATTCTGACCACATGTCCACCCTAAATATGAATTTACACTATCCCAGGGGGGCCGGTATCGCCCCCCCTGAGGCTCCCTTGTAAAAAACAATACGCGGGGACATATTTTGTTCTAACATAAAACTGTTTCGCGAATCCCTTGCAACAAATGGGACGAGAGGCAGACGCGCGCGTCGTCGCGCAATCCTTCAAAAACCTTCGGTGTCGGAAGGAATTCGCAACCGAGTTTTCAAAAAAACATACTCAAACACACGGTTTCGCAACACTGATTTGCTAAAAAAACTTACGCGCGAGCTCTTGCGAAATCTGAGGAAAGTCATAGGTTTTTCAAGATTTTCATAAAATGCTACCAAACCGGCTTCGCGCGCGCGCATGTCGAAATCTGTCGAACGCCCTTGCGCGTGTGCCGTCGCGAGAATCCTCTGCAAAAAATGAGACGAAGTGCAGATGCGCGCGTCGTCGCGCGCGTATGCCGAAATTGTACGTCGTCCTCTGTCTTTCCTCGTGTTCGTCGTCGTCGTCATGTTTGGCGTCGTGGTCGTTTCCGTCGTCGTTGTCGCCGTGGTCGTCCTTCCTCCTCCTCCCTCGTCGTCGTCGTCGTCCGTCGTCGGCGTCTCGTCGTCGTCCCTCCTATTTCGTCGCCGTCGTCGTCGTCGGCGTTGTTGTCGTCGTCGTCAATTTCCCTCCTCCCTCGTCGTCGTCGTCGTCGTCGGCGTCGCCGTCCTTCCTCCTTCGTCGTTCGCGTCGTCGCCGTCCTCCCTCCTCCCTCGTCGTTATCGTCGTTGTCGCCGTCGTCGTCCTCCCTCCTCCCTCATCGTCGTCTTCGTTGGCGACGTCGTCGTCGTCTTCGTCGTCGTCGTCGTCGGCGTCGGCAGTGTCGTCGTTTTCGTCGTCGTCGAGTCGGCGTCGTCGTCGCCGCCGCCGTTGTCGTCGTCGTCGTCGGCGTCGCTGACGTCGTCGTCGTCGTCGTCGGTGTCGTCGATGTCGTCGTCGTCGGCGTCGTCATCGTCGTCGTCGTTGTCATCGTCGTCGTCGGCGTCGGCATCGTGGTCGTCGTCGTCGTCGGTGTCGTCGTCGTCGCCGTCGTTGTCGGCGTCGTCGAAGTCGTTGGAGACGTCGTCGGTGTCGTCGTAGTCGTTGTCGGCGGCGCCGTCGTCGTCGTTGTCGCTGTCGTCGTCGGCGTCGCTGTCGTTGCGAAGTGCGATTTGGTACCCACCGTCACGGTCTTAAGAGATTTTGCAAACCAAGTTGCGGGTGGGTGGGTGGGATATTTGCGCGAGCAGTGGTGGACAACTCACTGCGAACAATAATTAATTGCACCGCATAGATTGCACCGCATGGATTGAACAATGGTGGTTGCACAACCTAGGTTGCATAACTTAGGTGGCACAACCTAGATCGCACCACGTAGGTTGCACCAAATAGATTGCACCGCATAGCGTGCACAACATACACTGCATCACATACATGTGTACATATCTATTGCACCAAACGGACTGCTCCACACGTAGTGCCCGACAGATAATACGCAACCCAGGTTGCACAACATAGTTCGCACGACATAGGTTTCTCTGCGTTGGTGGTACAACAGATCGTACCACATAGATTGCACCACATAGATTGCAACGCGTATCTTGTACCACACGGACTGCACAACATAAATTGCTCGTCATAGATTGCACACAATAAGGATGGCTAAAACATAGTGTCTGGAATCCACGCTGGCCAAAATTGAATGCCCAAAGGCCCGAGAATGGGCCCAAGAGGCCGACGTCAAGGCAACACACCCGGATCGAGGACATCGCATCGTCGGGGTTCTGGACTCTTGGCTCCCGGCTACCGAGACACTCAAGTTCCTGCCTGAGTTCGGTGGCAACTCATGGGAGTCTTTGCGGTGCACAAGGGAGTGGAGGGAGGGGGGATGGCTTGTTGGAAGGAGGCTTCTTCTTAGAAGGCGCAGGCCTTACATCTATAGATGAGGGCCGCGCCTTCTAAGAAGCCGGGGTGCTTCTAAGAAGCCCCCCCCTCCCCCCACTCCCCTCTGCGCGTGGCTGAGAGTCTTCGATGCCATCCTGTTGGCTCTTGCGCATCGGAGTTAGTCGACGCTGCATCGACACTGGTCGACGCCGCTAGTCGACAGTAAATCGGCGCGATCTCATCGGTTGACAGACAAAGGCGAAGGCGCTTCAGAGACGGAGTTGCGAGGGCGTGCAAGGCTCCCATGTTTTGCTAACGTTATGTTGCCCCCATCGTACTTAGGTTCTACATCCCAGAACAAATTTCGAGCACCCAAATAAGTATCGAAGCAGTGTCGAACGAGTATCGCCTCCCAGGGCCAAACACGTGAAAAGCCTCAAGTCTCGGTACTCGCTTGGTGCTCGACATTCTTTCCTGCGGTCAAGGCCAAAGTAGGTTGGAACATCATAATACTGACGAATCTTGAGCAGGGACCGACCGTCCTGCATTCCTATAGTCATACCACGACCTGTTTTAGAACCCAAAAAAGTTCTAAGAACAAAAACAATGGTCTTAGAACATAAACCGATGTGTAAAACAAGACAGTCCCAGCCAGAAATGTTCTAAGCACATTTCGTGGGAGCCACAAATGGTTATCAGAACATTGTTTGGTGGGGCTATAGGCGAGCCAGGACATTTCGCCGCTGCTTGAGAATCTGACGGCTATCCAGTCACCAAGAATCTCAGCTCCAGCGGGCGCGGCCGCGGGCTCCGGCTCACTCCGGCAGACTCCGATGTAGCGCTGCAGGTACCTGCGGGCAAGGTGGGGGGGCGGCAGGGCCGGGAGGGGCACCTGGGGGCAATGGGAAGGAGGGCGGGGAGGAAGAGAGGCCGACGAAGGAAGGACGAGGGAGGAGGCTCAGGAGAAGGAGGAGCAGGAAGAAAAATAGGAGGAGGGAAGTGGAGGAAGAAGCAGAAGAAGAAGAAGAAGAAGACGGGGCAATAGAGAGAGGCGAGGAGGCAAAGCGGAAACATCTGGGAGGTCGATCGTGTGTGGAGGAGGGTGGCTGGTGAGGGGAGGAAGGGGGACGAGGAGCGAGCTGGGGCGGAAAAAGCGAGAAACGATGATGTGGAGGAAGGGGGGGAGAGGAGGAATAATCCGCCGACCCTGTCGGCATGTGTGAGGGGACTCTCCGTTCGAGCCGTCGTCGTCGCCGCCGCTCCCCCTCGGGCGCTCCAGCCGGAGGGTCTGACCGAACGGCGTCGCAGTCGAATCGGGGGGACACCCCGTCCTTCTCTGATCGCTCCCACGCCGGCGGGGGGGGAGGACGGGGGGCCCCGGGGGAGGGGGAAAGGGGTCCAGGGGATCTGCGACCCCCCCCCCCCCAACGGTGGCAACATCCCTGCCTGAGAGAGGCTTGCGGATCCCGGTCGTCGGCGTCGTCGTCGTCGTCGTCGCCGTCGGCGTCGTCGTCGTCGCCGTCCCCCTTTCGAGGTCGGCGCGGAAGGCGTTCGCAATCGAAGGAAGAAGAGGGGGAGGGGGGTGGACAAAAGGCGTGAAGGGCGGGGAGAGGCCAGGGCAGGGGATGCGGCTCAGGACA